TTTTTTTCTTCTAGATTCCAAGGCTATATGGCCTAGCCATTCCTGCTATTTAACCACAGTTGCGGGGAGGTCAGATGGAATTCACAGCTTTTCCCAAGAGTATTTGTGCATGAATGTAACTAAATCGACAGGAATTCGAACTCAGCTCTGCGATTTCTTAATCTGAGTCACTATCCATTACACCACTGGCATATCCACAATATTACCTTCTGCAGGTTGTTGAATAAGATTTATTTATTTATTTATTGACGCTTAATAATCTTTGAAACAGTTTTAAACCGACATCTGAGATTCAATTAATTTGAAAATAAATAAAAATAAGAGAAAAAACGATTTTTTTTTTTTTTGAAGTGGTGAGTTTTAGTGTCAGTCCTCACGTTATTCAATTTAAAATCAATCAGTATTCTGGGACGTATAATAATTATTTTGAGTTTTAGTTCCGTTAAAGTTCAACGCAGATATTTGTCCGCCCGCTCCAATATTACGATCAAAATCAACACCGGATTTTAATTGCAGTTGAAATATGGTCAATATTTACAACTTTTCGGCCGCTAAAATCTACGTCTTTCTTCTGAAATTTTTATTTATTTATTTATTTTTATTTTTCGTAATTTTTTTTTTTTAAATCTCAATGGGACCCTATCTACGGCCTGGTATAAATTTGAAAGCAAACTAGCAACAAAAGCTAAAATTAGACAAGACGATATTTCCCTGAACTTGTAGAACCGGACGTAGATAATCTAACCACGCAGATTAAATAAAGTGTTCAGTTTGAAATTCCTTAAAGACAACTCGGGTCGATAGACAAAACAGGGGACGCAGAAAAATCGAATGATGTAAATAATAACTCCTGATCCCAGAAATGCAAATTAAAGAAATCTTGTTCAGCATTCTGAGTTTTTTAGGGGTTTTTATGTCAGTTATTTGCGATAATTTCGAAAGGATTTATTTCTATGTTTAAACAACCTTTTCCTTACTGTCTTGTTTGCATTTGATGAGTCACATTTGAACTTCAGAACCAGAAAAAAATCCGGCACCTGTCAGCCTGACAAGATTACTAGTAAATTCAGTATTGGTGATGGGTTCTTAACATCGAAAAGGAATTAAGTCTATGCATGTACGTAAATCAATCTAAATCGACAGAAAAAAAAAAAACACTGATGATAATTCTTATTGTTCACATTATATACACAGGTTGGCGAGAGCCCAACTATCATAGATTTTATAGGAAATCCCGGACAACTCACCTACAAGAGAGTTTGGTCCGATAATCTTGCCACCCCCTACCAAAAAGTGGAGAACAACAGAAGAAGTAATACAGTAATACAAAACACATCTACTAGAATAGGTTTATTTAATTTTCATTGAAGCTGTCACACATTCGTGTCATCCATCTGAAATGATATTATCTATGGGTGGCAAAACGTTTAGATCACGTTGTACATTGTTGGTTGTTTTGTTTTATGCCATTAAATGACCTCAGTGGGTCACTGTTGGCATTAAATGACCTCAGTGAGTCATTGTTGGCATTAGATGACCTCCGTAGGTCACTGTTGACATTAAATGACCTTAGTGGGTCATTGTCGGCATTAAATGACCTCATTACGTCATTGTTGGCATTGGCAGTATCTAAAAAACTGTTTATATATCATTGTTTTTATTATATATATATATATATATATATATATATATACATTGTTGGTTGTTTTGTTTTATGCCATTAAATGACCTCAGTGGGTCATTGTTGGCATTAAATGACCTCAGTCTATTAAACAATAGTTGAATTAACGGTTTTTGTAGGCATCATCAGATTTTTGGTTTAGATAAAACCTCCATATAATAACTGTTGAAAATATTAACTAAAACATTAAATGACCAGAATCCATAGCCGAAATAAATAGGGTCTAAAAAAATTAACCCTTTATGAAGTCGTCAAAACAAACGTTACGACAGTTTTTTTTTTTTATTATAAATTTTTCATAAAAAAAAAAAAAAAAAATAAAAAAAAAAATAAATAAATTTCCATAGACATGCAAACTAGACGATTCTTCCGTTTCAAATTTAGACACCCCACCTTCCCTGACTTGACATCTATGAAAGTAACTCTATGGCATTCTGTTACCATGGAAATTTTGATTTCACCTCAGAAACACGTTATTCCAAAAAAAAATCAGAGCTTTTTTTAACTCAATTTAATTGTATTATTTTGAAACATGGGACTTCTTATCGCGATTTGGAATCATTTTTTTAATTATATATACTTTTGTATCGAGCACTATTTTTAAAAAATATAACTAAAATATATATTATTTATAACCATATTTTCTATATATATATATATATATATATATATATATATATTATATATATATATATATATATATATTGGTACAGGTAATATTGAAAGCTTGATTTTTTAAATTTTAATGAACGTATTATGGGCGATTAAATAAAATAAGTATTGTATTTTAATGTAAAATTATATAAAAATATTAAATTTAGTGGGTCAAACAATCTAAAATCTATGTATTATATAAATTGTTTTATTATTATATATATATATATATATATATATATATATATATATATATATATATATATATATATAATGGTACAGGTAATATTGATTTAATTCCTTGATTTGTTTTTTTATTTTAATGTTGCCATGTATTAAGGGCGATTAAATAAAATAAGTATTGTATTTTACGTTCAAAATTAGATAAAAATGATTTAATTATGCCAGATAATTTTTTGATAGTTCTAAAATATATACGTTTTTTTTTAAATTAACCTATTATTAGAGATATACATATCTCTCAAATTATTTTTTCGTAACGTGAATGTATTTTGAAAAAATTAATATGAAGTTCCTGAGACATATATGAATACCCTCCCGCGAAATTAACCCATATTTTTTAACTTTTTCTGTATTACTTTGAGCTGTCTTTTGATTAGTCAAAAGAGACACACCCATAAGATTATAAAGAAGGTTCCCTCCCCTTACTGAACACTTTAATAAGCAAATGTATTGTTTTCTTTTTTCAAAAGTAAATCATTTTCATCAAACGTTGCCGAACATTGCCTGATGAAATCATGAAACACAGAAATTTCCGTGTCGCAATGTAAAATATTTTTAAATAAAATATCAGCATATATATATATATATATATATGAAAATTTCTCCGATTTAACCAGTAGAGAAGACAATATTTATGAATAAAAATGACAATAGGAAAATGGTAATTGCTGACGCGTTTCGTCCATTCTGTTTTTGTTTTTATTAGTTACTTTGTTCATTTAATTTCATTTTCGTATTTTGCTTTGATAAAGTCCACATGGACGAAACGCGTCAGCAAACCAGTTTTCCTATTGTCATTTTTTTATATATATATATATATATATATATATATATATATATATATATTTATATATAAACATAGGACAGGCTGTTTTTCATGTTAGGCGCAATCGTGAACGATTGCGCCCAGCATGAAACAGCCAGTCGCCTCTGAGTGTTGACTTCAATGTTCACTTTTTATATTTACATTTACGTCTATCTCTGATATTGAGCACTTTATCCCATAAATATGGCACACTTAAAACTATATTACTTATATATATATATATATATATATATATATATATATATATATATATATATATATATATTTAAATAAATAATTATATTTATGCTCTACTTTTGTATCGAGCACTATTTTTTAAAAAAATAACAAAAATACTAAAGAACTTTTGGATTATTTACCTAACGAGTTCTTTTCCTATTTTTATATTTTCACACACACACACACACACACACACACACACACACACACACACACACACACATATATATATATAAATATATATATATATATATATATATATATATATATATATATATATATATATATATATATAGTGTCAATTGATATCTTCTTAATTTTTGTCCCTTTGATCGTTCTTTTTTCTTCTTAATAAGGTGCTTTCTGTTCCCATTCTTTCGCACCCAGTAACCCCTTACGAGTTAGTAGCTTTATTATCTTGATCGGGGTGAAATGGTTTAAAAGAAATCCTCTTCGGAAGGAACCAGGTTTGAAAACAAGTCTTCACCAACAGCTGAAGTGGCACTAAGAACTTTATGGCTCCAAGTTATAGCTCGATGACTGAATGAATAGACTAGATATATAGGATAAACAATTTAGAAACACACACACACACACACACACACACACACACACACACACAAATACGTAAAATTTTTTGCCCTCTGAACAACACCGCACCACTGGATTATCAAATATAATCTTTATATATATATATATATATATATATATATCATTACGCCCTGAGCAAGGCGTATAGGAATCAGAAGATTTGGAGCAAGAGCAGATGGATAGAAGAAAAAATGAGGAGAAGGATAGTGGGTAGATCAAGGTAACTGGAGATCGATTGACATTACATTTAAATAGTTGGAGATTATAGCTGGGAAAATAATTGGGAAGGGTGTTCCACAAGAGGTGCGAGGCATGAAGCTATTGGATAGAAGAGACGGCTACATTTAAAAGTTTCTACAGTGTAAGGGTGGGAGCGGGATGCCAGCATCGTAGGGCGCTTGAATTCATGGAGTCTATAGATTACAAAAATGAAACACCAAAAAAATGTACCGCTAAAAGATGGAAATGTATTTTAAAATAATTAGGAAGGAAAGCTTTTTTTTTTATTAAAGAAGAGGTAAAATGTTATTGAATTAACAATATTGACATCTTAAAGAAGAATCTCTCGCAATAACACATCGTGTAACCTTCAAAAGTAAATCTGCAGTCTATTATTTAATCATAAAATTGACGTTACGTAAGAATGGCACAAGTGGACATAACGGAAGTAACATGACATAATTAATTTTGTGTGTTATACTAATGTCGGCAGTGGCCTGTGTAATAGGTTCCACTATCTATATAATGGGTGTATTGCATTTTTATTATATACTAAGACACACAGAC